GGAGACATTTTTTTCTTTCTCCCCCCACTCCTCACTCTCCTACTCTAACTTCAAAACCTAGAATGGTGACTGGAACCAGTAGAATTTCATTAAATACTTGTTAACTGAATAAATTCTGACACCAGTTGTGGGCAACTGGACCCCATGATGGCTTACACCAATCACGATCCATACTTGGAACTGAGTTTGCTTTCCCTGAAGAATGTAGCTGGGCATAGGAAGATGGATATGTGGGGGGCGATAAGTGCCTGGGGGAAAATTGAGTCTTTCATAGGAAAATAAAGAAGAAAGGAAGACTTTGGGTAAGAAGTCAACAGTACTAACTGTATTTTCTTTATTTCCCCTTTCAAAAGCAAGACAGATGATTATCAAATTTATCCTGGAGTCATGAAAAATACCTTAGGTCACTGATTCTTTTTCTTTTTTTTTTTTTTTTTTTCCACATTTTAACATCTCTGACTTTGGAGTGCATCTTACAATCACTGCCATCCAATGATCCCATAACTGGCAGTGATGTTTTCTTTCTTGGTGCTTCACAAAAGGATGGGACATCTTAAAATGGATGGGGTCTTAGAAATCTCACTTCTGATGTACAAAGTGATGCTACAGAAAAAAGAAAATCACCATCATTGTCCATAGACATGTAAAGCTGGCAGTTATGAAATAGGCCAGTCTTGACATCTCTCATGATTCCCAGGAAAACTAGACATTCTCTTTTTCTCTTGCCTTCATATTGAGAAGCTTTGATTTAAGATAATGTCTGAGGAGAGAAGCTTTGTTCAGCAGTGTCATTTGACCCAGATTGTATGTTTTTATAGCTTGAGCCAATTAGTTAAAGTGACTTTGACTATAATAAGGACCTGTGACTTTCCTCAGTATTATTGCATTAGTCACCCTGGAACAGTTTCTGGCTTGTGTTTGTAATCTGGCTCTGATTGTGCCTTTCTCATTCTGATATTTATATGATTTGTTGCTGTCCTATAAAATAATGACCTTTGAGTCCTTGAAAGTAAACCCTCTCTGATTCTCTTTATTTCAATAAGTCCTTGGCACTTGATGGCATAGTGTGAATCACATTTACTGTCCTGATTACTAATTGAAGTGGGTTGTTTTTCAGTATTTTAAATCTATATTAATTAAATGAGCATTGGGCTGGGAGTGACGAGACTCCTCAGAGTTGTACTCCCAACTCTATTCCTGGGGAACAGGATAAACCTGGGGACGCCGCTTACTCTCCCCTGCTCTTGCCTGTACATAGGGAGATTGTTCTAGATCAGCTAGCTCTATACACCTGTGCTGAATGGGCTTATGGTGCTAGTCCCAGTGTATGCTTAATTTGGGCTACGATTCCAGCCCCCGTCGCAAGTCTGGGCCTCATTAAATGTACTAATTTATCTACAAAATAAAGATTAATAAACACGTGTGATATGGTTGGGCTGTGTCCACACTCAAATCTCATCTTAATTGTAGCTCCCATAATCCCCACATGTCATGCGAGGGACCCAGTGGGAGGTAACTGAATCATGGGGGTGGGTTTTTCGTGTGCTGTTTCTCATGGTAGTTGAATAAGTCTCACATGATTTGATGGTTTTATAAAGAGTGGTTCCACTACGCATGTTCTTTTGCTTTCTGCCATGTAAGTCATGCCTTTGCTTGTCCTTCGCTTTCCACCATGATTGTGAGGCCTCCTCAGCCATGTGGAACTGTGAGTCCATTACACCTCTATTTCTTTATAAATTACCCATGAACTCCTTGGGGGAAGACACTATCTTATTGGTCTTTGTAACCTGTCGCCACGTAGATACTACTTGAGATGAGAGACAGTATCCATACAATTCACTTCTGTATCCCAGCTGCCCAGCAGAGTGTCAGTGCTTCATGCATATCTGGTGAATGATCAATAATGGGAATGTGGTACTCCAGCAACTGTTTCCTCTTAGCCATGATGGAAACCACAGCTTTTCATTCTTTCCATCCTTTGTATCATGATTCTTCCCTATCTTGTTTTTCCTTCTCTGTGTCTACTTCTGCATTTATTTTCTTTTTTTCTGTTTTTTGTCTCATTAGTCTGTCATGTTTCATTAGCATATGTTCTAGTCCCTTTTTGTGGTAAAATATACATGACATAAAAGTTGTCATTTTGCCATTTTTAAGTGTACATTTCGGTGGCATTAAGTACATTCATATTGTTGTGCAACCACCACCGCTATCTCTAGAACTTCATCATCATCCTAAACTGAAACTCTGTACCCATTAAACAGTAACTTCCCATTGTTCCCGCTGGAAATCCCTGGTAATCTTTATTCTACTTTCTGCCCCTATGAGTTTGCCTATTCTAGATACATCATATAAGCGAATTCTCATCCTTTTTTGTGTTTTGGGGTATTTTCCTGGTCATTCTGCCCCTTCTTTTAGTCTGCATTTCCTTTTTGTTGCTGTTGTTTCTGAGCACTGCCCCCACCCAGTGATGGCTCATTTTATCTATCCTTCTATGCACCCTCAGCTGCCATCAACTGTGTAGCATTTCCTTTACATTTTCTCATTTCTTATGTCCATATATAATCTTCAGATTTTTTTTGGTTTGTTTTGTTTTTGTTTTGTTTTTGAGACAGAGTCTCGCTCTGTTGCACAGGCTGGAGTGCAGTGGCACAATCTTGGCTCACTGCAAGCTCCGCCTCCCAGGTTCACACCATTCTCCTGCCTCAGCCTCCCGAGTAGCTGGGACTACAGGTGCCCGCCACCATGCCCAGCTAATTTTTTGTAGTTTTAGTAGAGACGGGGTTTCACCGTGTTCACCAGGATGGTCTCAATCTCCCGATCTCATGATCCACCCGCCTCGGCCTCCCAAAGTGCTAGGATTACAGGTGTGAGCCACCGCGCCCGGCAATCTTTAGATTTTTAATTCATTCTTTTAAAAAGTGTTGTGTTGCATTTAAATGTTATAAAAGGTTTAATGGAAAAAATATGACTTTAAAATGTTTTGAAAGCAGGTTTCTGTAAAGGGCTAGCTCCTAAAATGACAGCACTCAAAGAAGGCCCTGAGTAGAGAGGGAATGGGAGTTCATGTTGTTAGAAGGGGTTTTGCCAGAGAAACGTTTTCCTGCTTGAAAACCACTGTATGATTTACATAAACTTATTAATTATGTAAGTTTGTGAATAACCTAAGCATTCTTGGACTTTTTCCATCTGATCATGGCCAAAAACAAACAAACAAAATCTCAAGGAGAGGAAAACCAGTTTCCTCAATGACAAAAGGTAGGAAGGAGTCCTAGAGTTCAGTGACATAGGCACAATGATTCCTTTTTTTCTGAGAAGGAATAAGTTAAGCACTCTTAATTGATGTTCAATAGCAACTTCTCCCTGAAATCTGAACTGTTCAGAGCAGGGTGAAAGTGAGTATTTCAGGGAAGTTTTGGATAATGCAAGTACCAACCCCTTAAACACACAAACCTAAGAACATAGAGATAGATTTTATTATAGAATAATAAATACTCATTTCATAAAATCTGGAAAATAAAGTAAAAATTACAATCACCCCAAATTCCTACCATCTTTTTGCCTGCATTCTCATATATTTCTTTCTATGCGCAAAGAAGGACTGTGAAATATGTTGCAGAAGAGATGACAAAAAGCTAAACATTTATAAGTGAATTACAGTGAATAAATCTAGATTCCATTTAGGCCGTGCTATATAAGCAACAGTGGGTGTTTTAAAGTACATAGTCATAGACAACAGATCCTCTTTAAAATAGGGAAAATAAAGGTGGTTATCTCAAAGAGTGCTGTGACAACTAAATTAAATGTGTATGTAAATCACCTGGCATTAATCCTAATCCCCTCTACCTCAAAGCTGGTATACACAAAATAACATGGCTATTGAGAAAGTCTAGTCAGTCACCCAGCTTTGAGGTTTAAAATTATAATGGTTGCAAATTTTGGAATGCCTGGTTTTGTAATCTTTTTTTTTTTTTTTTTTTTTTTAAAGTGAGTACCCAAATACATGTTGATTCATGCTTTTCCAGTTTTCTAGGCCTGGGAAAAGCACAGGTCTTTGGCACATGCAACCCAGAACCAGCAGCTGCTGACTTGCAAACTCAAGCTATGATGTGGTTATAAGAATAGCTTTCCTGTTCTTTTCATTCTTCTTTTTCCCCTTATTTCCTTAATGTGCCTGGGTTCCTGTTTTGTATATTTTGTTGTCACTTGGTCTGTGTAATTTTTATGTATTTTTCTCATCCCTCTTAGTCCTTTGTCTTTATCTTGTCAGTCTTCTCTAGTTTCTTTCTTACTACCCTACATCTTTCTTCTTCATCATTTTTATTTCTTGCGTAATTCTTTTTTTTTTTTTTTGCATTTACATTTTCTCATGTTCACATTTATTCTGCACCATTTTCTAGTAAAACCTGTGACTATAAAATTTTCTTACCATCTTATAGTCAGGTTCGCGATACCTATCCATTTCTGAAATTTATCAGCCTAGAAATCTGTTACCCAAAGTCATGTTGATGATAGCATAAACTGAAGTATTAGTGCACACCTGAATTTTGAGAACAAAGTAATAACGTATATACATAGATTGTTTTTCCAGTATTAATCAGATTCACATGTGATATGGTATTACAGTGCCAGGTACCTAAGAAGCGCTCAACAAAGGTTTGCTGGTCAAATTTAACTTACATTTATCAAACTTTACCTTCACCTGGATTTATTTGATTGTACAGCCTCTGAAAGTTAGGCAAGTCACATAATATTATGTCCTTCTTAGGGAAAAGGGAATGGTTGGTGAAGAGATGCATAACTGACGTAAGGCTGTAAAGCTGCTGCCAGGTGCGGTGGGGCTCATGCCTGTAATGACAGCACTTTGGGAGGCCAAGGTGGGAGGATCAGTTGAGCCCAGGAGTTCAAGACTAGCCTGGGTAACATAGCAAGACCCCCATCTCTACGAAAAATACAAAAAATTAGCCAGGTGTGCTGGTGTGCATCTGTAGTCAAAGCTACTTGGGAGGCTGAGGTTGGAGGATTGTTTGATCCCAGGAGATTAAGGCTGCAGTGAGCCATGTTTACAGCACTACACTACAACCTTGGGGACAGAGCGAGACTGTGGAGCTGTCCCCAGTTGCTAAGCCTGACCTACAGCCCAAACTTCCCAATTCCGTGGCAAATGTCCAACTCCCGTGCGCACTGCTGCTCTCCATATCTGTGGTCATCATCCTGCCCAGTGGTACCCCTGTTGTTATTCCAGGATGGGATTTGCTGCTCTGAGACTCAGCAGACTATTGAGCGTTACTATCCTTTCCTGTTCCTTGATCCACCCAGTACGCCTAAAAACAGATGTCAGAAATAGCTGTGGAGATATTAGCAATACCAACTACAACCATGAAAGCTTACATTTACTGGGTGTTTATCATGTGCCAAGCTAAGTGATTTACATGGATTAGTTCATATATTCCACTGTAAATGGTTACTCAAAGCAAATACATTAGAGCTTTCTAAATACATATATTTTCTAAATACATATGCTATATATGCCTTACCAAACAGTGCCAAACTGTCTAACAGAGAAAATATAGCCACATATTTAAAGAGAAAAGAAGCAGAGTCTTAAGGAGATTAAAATAAAATGGAAGTTGAACCAACAAACCTGGTTCCAAGTCCTTTCCTTCTCTTCAACGAATTACCAGTCTGTACCATTTGCCTTTCTGATGGACTCGTCTCAAACTCACACTGAGCTAGTGACATTCGGGAAGTGAACCGTCACATGGTAAAGATTGTCTTGCTCTTTGTCCTCAATGCTAAAGGTCTTCTTTCCATAGAAAGGCACAATTTCTCCCCAAGGTATTTGCAAAACCTCCTTGTAAGACCCTCCTGGTTGCCTGTGTTCATTGTTGGGGTATCATTGGCAGATAACAACAGAATTTGGGAGTTTTATAATAAGAAAATAAAATGATTTCATGTCTAAAAAAAAGAAAAGCTAGTGTAGAAATTACATTGAGAGTAATAAATCTCATGGCCAAATATAAGTTCCAAAGAAGATAGCCATTACAATAATATTATTATTACCAATAAAAGAGAAAAAAGCTTAGTTGTAAGTACGTTGAAAACTTTCCCTTTTGTGCTGAGTGATTCTTCTCTAGAGCCTCCCAGGAGTACAAGGCTATAATTTTAATTATATCTTGGCATTCTCATAAAGCAAACAGCCTGCTCAGGTAGTATTTATTACCTGTTAGGAAGAATACTTATGAATATGCTTCACAGATTCCAACTGCAGTGATTGGCAATGGGCCTTTTCAAGGACAGAAGGGGTGAGTTGGAACACACATAAGAGAAAAGTTGCTCATTAAGGGAAGGTTTGTTATCCAGGAACGTATAATTAAGGTGACGGTCCCAGCTTCTGTGACAGCCAACACTCGGGTAGTTGTTTGATTGCTACGTGGGTCAGGGATCAGCTCCTGCTACAAGATGTAGCCACATTAGTGTGTTAGTGAACAGGTTAGAAAGTAAATTACAGCTGCCTTTCTCAAGCACATTACTGCCGGTCTTCATTGTATTGTTTTGACTGTACATCAGCAGGACTGTGGCTTCTGAAGACTTTGTGTGACAGGTTAGGCATTTCATCCTTTGAGTAAACAGTAATCATGGTGTGAAGAAAGTGGGGCATTGGAGAATTTTTCCTATTCTTTGAGAATTCTACTCTTCCTTTTTAGTTTGCTCCAAGGGCTCATTGGGGACACATATATTAAGCCCTTTAAATAGTTCATAATAAATCTTTGTCTCAGGCTGATTCTGACAGTTTTTTAAAGAGTCTTTTAAGAGAGAATCCTCAATCATTTGTTAATCCATGGGGTGATCTTCAGACTTCGAGAAAAAAAAATAACAGCCTGGGCTCTTGGGTAGAGAAAATACAATGTAGGGAAAAAGATATATAAATATGGAAAATCCTGAGATTACATGTGCTGCATGTATCTAAATGTCTTCCTTCTTCCCCAACAAGCCAAAAGTAAAGTGGAAAATAATTGTCAAAATAGTAAGAATTTCTATTGTTATTTTTATATTTTTGAACTTACGTGCATCTCCTAAAATGGGAGACTTCAAATCATACAGGAGAGAATACTCTTTTTTAAAGTAAGTGAATTCTTTTGGTAGAAAGATAATTTCTTTTTTTCCCTTCTTTCACCTTTAAGACCACCTCTGTCTTCCCCTAAATTACTTACATTCACACTGCTATTTTACCTGGTCAGGGAGAGGCGTTCTGTTAGAGAAAGGATTGCAGATATTGGTTGTTGGCATCAACAACAACAAAAAACCTTGAAGGGCAAGACATAGCTTTCAGAATAAGGACCTTTCTAGGTTGGGTTTACGTATTTTACTTTCTGCTTTAGATATGGGCTCGTTGGTCAATTATATTAGATGTTCATAATTTAAAGAATATAGACTTGTGATTTTAGCATGCATCATTTTAACACCCCCAAAAATCACATAAAACACTTACCGGAAGAGAGTAAAAGCAATATTGTCTCTCATGTAGACAGTTAACATTAGTAGTAATCGTAATACCTGTGTATTATTTGCACAATGAAACAAAAATATTTTAAAGGGAAGGAAAGTGTACTCTCTCTGAATTGTTTTATGTGTAAATCATTGACTATTTCAAGAAAATTTATTTAGGTTTCATTTTGCTTGTAACTGAAATGATTAAGACGGATAAAGAATGCAGGCCATAGCTTTGAGAGAAACATGAGGATAAGCACCACGTATATGATCTGAACCTTTATGTCATTTCCAAAATGCAGCTTCTCAAGCTGTTGAAAAATACGGAGAACTTTACTAATGACATGCAAATGAAGTTTGTTAGGGATAAATGCAATAATAAAATGGAGAAATGGGCAAAAGACAGCCTACTGTTACTGATGGATTCATTCTCACGTCAGGTCAAATAATTGAAGACCCAGAGCAAGGGCAACCATAAATACCTGGAGTCCCTGCCGTTGAGAGGATTAACCAAAAACAATTATGACAAATGCAGTGGAAGCATTCAGCTCCCAGGCAACAAGGGATGTGTCGTGCCAGTTTTAAAAATACTTATTTGGCATTATAGAATATACAGTTTAGACCCAGAAGCCATTCAACATAACACTGAAGTGTTGATGGTAAAAAACATCAAGTATGTCATTGGAAAGCTATATTTGAAGAGATCACTTTGTTTCATGAAGCAGGAAAAAGGGAAATAATTAACATCAACAAATTTGCTTTGCCCCTGGTTTGAGAAAAGGCTGCTTCAACCCTATTTTCCCTATCACCATCAGCAATATCCTTTATCTTTTTTAACTGAAGGAAAGGAGGGTAATTCTAGAGCGAGAATAACTGCAAGCTATATAAATGGACTTTTTAATGACTGCTTTTTATCCCCTCCACTAGGGAAGAGTATGCATAGCCTTCAAGAAAGTATACAAATGACCTAACGTCGAGTTCAGATATGGAAATGATGCCTACACATATATTAGCTGGCCAAGATTATAATGATGAAGTCCTGTTTTAAAGCAGAGCTACTTCTTGCAAAAGATTAGATGACTTTGTTTAGGTATTAAGATGGAGCAGTGGTCATTGAAACTTATTAGGATCATGAGAGAAAGGAAAATTAGCTTAATTAAAGATGTCAAAAATAGAGATTCATTAGCAAAATAACAGATATAGATAATTATTGGGTTATCTCTCATTTCTGGCTTCTCTAAATTATTACAAAGTATAAATAATGTTACTAAGAATATGCTCCAATAAATAACCCTCAATTCTTTATTGGTGATGGATTTAATATGGTACTTCTAACTAAAAACATTTGAAAAATAACCATTTCAAGATGTGCTGGAATTGAGCCATAATAAAACCAACAAATCCTAGCCACCCGGTCAAATTTCTCCCATATGAAAAAATTAATTAATTAACAGAAGATACTGATTCAGGAGATATTTGTGGAGACCTGGCAACCTGAGACCCTTTCTATCTCCAGAATATACACACTCACACGGGAAAATTAAAGTTGGCCATTGTGTCAGACCCCATACCTAAGATGGCAAATTTGAAAAAGCCATATCATCACACCAGATTTCACTTGAATTCTCAATAATTGTGTAGTTCTCTAGTACCTTCCAGTGAGAAAGCTCCAAAGTCATTCAACATTCACTCCATTAAAGAAATGTATCTCAGGTCAATCTTCTAAACTCTTCCATTTGTCATCCCTGTTAAGCATATGACTGCACTCATGCAAAACCCTTCCTCTGGGTCACATTAAATCTTTATTCTTGTAGGAAAAGGGCTGCCAGATTTACCAAATATAGGATTCCCCGTTCAATTTGGAATTTATATACAATATTTGGATCATAGTACAAAAATTCATTTGTTGTTTACCTGAAATTCAAATGTAATGGGGTATCCTGTATTTTATTCAGCAAGGCTAGTTAGGTGTAAACTCTCCGTAGCCACTGACTTTTCCACAAGCCTCACATCTGCCTCTTCATCCTCACTGAGACCTTTCTCCCTTGGAAGCCACTACTCTCTAACCCTCTCCAGTGCAACTGTCCAGTTCAGAGTCCTATGTCCCTGTATGAAAGAGAAGTGGTCATCATGCACTGCTTCTGCTGCCACTTCCACACTATTTCCCTAAGATCTTTGCTTAAATACTTCCTCTAAAAAAATTAATTAATTTAAAAAAATTTTTTTAAAAAGCATTCTTTCCCTGTTCTTAATGCCATTGGCTATCACCACTCACATCACTCTCTGACCTTCCTCAGAGATGTCAGCTCATGCTCTGCAGCCTTCCTGTGAACCCCTCAGCTCAAGGAGGCAAACAGATGTAAGAATGAGAGTTTCCATGATGGGTAACCATTCAACACATAGTTCCTTGACTGCCAAAACTTTTAAAAATACGTATCAATTTTTTTATCTTACCTTTAGCACTCTTAGCACGATCAAACCTTGGACTTTAACCAGGCTTCGTTTTCAAAATCTCAAACACCTGTTAAAAAAATTGAGCAAAAGTCACAAAGGAAAAAAGGTATAGACTACTCAATATAAAATTTTAGAACATATGCATTTATGTGTATCATAAACAAAAGGCAAAAAAATGGGATGTACTTGCAAGAAATATGTCAGAGTTAATATCCTTAATATATATGTAGTTCATTCAGATTGATCAGGAAAACACTAAAAACCCAATTACAAAATAGAGAACATAAATATGTGATTAAAAAATTCAACTGGCCAATAAATATGTATTAAAACATAATCCATCCTCAATAGAAATAAAAATGCCAATTGCCAGGTGTGGCAGCTCATGTCTGTAATCCTAGCATTTTGGGAGACCAAGGCAGGTGGATCCCTTGAGCCCAGGAGTTCAAGACCAGCCTGGGCAACATGATGAAACCCTGTCTCTTCAAAAAAAAACACAAAAAGTAGCCAGGCATGGTGGCGCCCACCTCTAGTCCCAGCTACTCGGGAGGCTGAAGCAGAGGATCACTTGAGCCTGGGAGGTCGAGGCTACAGCTAGCTGCCCTCTAGCCTGGGTGACAGAGTGAGACACCAATCTCAAAAATAAAAATTAAAAAATGCATATTAAAAACATGTGAGATGTTTTTACACATTTCTTATCACAGAGACCCTGGTAAATATGTTATCTTCTGGTAAATTAATGTTTACTCTCAAAAAAAAAAAAAAACAAATCTTTTAAGGTGGCAATAATATGAACACCATTAAATATTACTGAGAGACACGCAAACTAGAATGGTGCAACTTTTCTGGAAATCAGTTTGTCTGTTTGTATTAAGAGCTTTTTTAAAAGCTTAGACCCAGACATACTCATTCTAGAAATTCACCCTAAGAGATAAGAAAGTTGAAAGAACATTAATTTCAAAGAAATTCATCACCATGCAATGAAATATTGCATAGCCACTAAAAAATAGTGTGTTTGAAAGTGATGTGATAATATGGACAAATACAGATACTGTGATGTTCTTTAAAAATTTGTTTAAAAACACTGATTTGCAGCCAAGGTCCCTAGAACCCCAGCATCCATTTATTGCCCTAACAGTGTCTAATAAAAGTATGGTTATTGCCACATAGTAAGCTATGACTTTTTAACATTAAAAGATGAGGCAGACACAGGTGTTATCCCAATTTTGAAATAAATTTATCAATAAATGGTAAATAAAACTGCAAGAAAACACATTGGGGTCACTAGTAATAGTGACTATAGCTGGGTGATAACATTATGGGGATTTTTTTTTTAAGTTTTCTTATTTATAGTTCATGTTTTCAAAATTTTCTATGAACATATGTATTTATACAAACTTTTTTCAAGCAGTAAATAATACTCAGAATTCACTCTCTGAATAAAGCCCCTACTGCCTACCTCTCTCATGTCACCACACCCCTGTCCTGCCATCCTTTCCTAGTCTCCAGCTCATCATGTCACCAGTTTTCACTTGACTTAACCCTTTGGAATCCCTCATCCTGTTGCCTTTCATTCCCATTGTCATGGGTCCCATCTTTAGAAATTGAAGCCAGGCAACTTCTAGCTACTAAAAAATCTTAGTGCTTATTTTCTATTGATCCCAGGTGGTTTCCCTACACAGGCTGTTTCATAGCTTTCTTTGCTCTCAAAACCCTGTCCTTCTTCCACTTCCTTTATCTCAGCAAACAACTTTATTGAAATTTATTTACTTTATTGAAGGTAAGTTATTCAGAACCATTTCTGTCACACTCCTGTCCCTCTCCCTCCACCTCCCACCTTCTCTTATTCTTCCTTTTTATTTCCCCCATTTCAAAGGCTCACCTCTCTTTCTCTGTTACTAATTCAATATCCCTTAGGGTTTAAATTCTTCAATTAGCATTTCCAATGTAAACAACTGTAAGCTCTGGCCTCTCCATCAGTAAACATACTCAACTCTCTATTTTCACCCCCCAAAATTCTCCAAAAAGAAGTGTATCATTTATTCACTGTATCCTTATCCCACTTTTTGACTGAAGCTGCTTTCTCTGGAGATCCCTAAAGACTTGACAATCCCAGTGGGTACAGCTGAGAGCATTGGACACACTGATCCATCATGCCCATTAGTTATTTCCTTGGTGGCCTATATGTCAAGTCATATACTGAAGGCAAATAATTTAATCTTGGACAAAAATTCAAGACAACTTCTTTAGAATTTCAGTCACTACTGCATAGCTATCCAACAAATAGCTTTCTGTAAAGCCTTTTACCAGTTTTGAGCCATAAATTTACCATGAGAATCATGAGCACAGAGATGGACGTGATTCCTTCACCCAGACATCCATGACTTGGTCTCCTCTGAGATGCCACCATGTCAGAGAGGCCCTTGTGACCACCCAACCAAAATGTGGCTCCCATCACTCTCTAGTCTCTTACTCGCTGTTATTGTTTATAGCATTAATCACCACCTGAAATTACTTTATTGTTGCTCCTCCCCTAAAAAAGGTAAGCACTGTTATGAATGGTTCCAGATCACTAGTTACTCAGCAAGTATTTATTCAAATAACTGAACAAAGAAAAAGTGAGCTATAGTAAAACATTTGATGTGTGCTTACATGGGTTTCATTTCAATATTGTCTTCTAGGGTCATGTGCTGAGTAAGGGCAAGAAGTTCCAGGGACAGCCAGAAGATCAACCTTTAAAATATTAAAAGGTGCACTCTCAGTCCACATGCCTGCACGTGGAGAGTGATACTTGCGTACCAATGGTTTGAATCACTGCCTGATTTTTCACCCTGTGCTGTATAGCAGTTCCTCATCACATGGTATTGTAGTTAGTAATAGAGCTTTAAAGCAAGGAAAAGGCAGAATGCATGTGTATGTGTTTGCAAGTGCCTCTGTAACCAGACTCTTCTATCTAACTCCGTTTTAAAATACGGTATGTGGGCAACATCTGTGCCTGAGATGGAGATTTGCCCAGAATGTTAAAAAAATAAACATGGCGGTTCAGCTGGATACTGGCAACCAGCTACTGCCCCATGGATAGGCCGCACAGAAGATTCATGTATATAAAATAGTATATTAAAGTAAACTTACAAAAGCAAAGAGCAATCATTGCAACCATAATTTTTTCTTCCTCTTTGGGATTCTAATTTTAAAAGCATTAAAGGAGACAGCTGCTCATGCTGTGATACGCGCTAAACAGCCTGAAGGACAGAAAAAAATATATTTGTAGCTCATAATAACTATTGACCTTTCTGATATACAATGTTCTCTGTGTTAGCTATTCAGTTCTATCAACAGTGAAGATTGAACATGACTTTTTAATAGAAAACATGGGGTTTCGAGCTGCCTTCACAAAGGTGTTTATGTATTGTTATTTTGTATTGTAGTACAAAGACTAAGTCCTGATGCCCTTTGTCTGACATGGTGTTTGTCATAAAAAAAAAAAAAGAGAAAAGAAAAAGAAGGAAGGAAATAAAAGAAACAGAAAGGAGGGAAAGCCCTCAATGTTATTGACTATGTTTTATATGAAGAATTGGCTCATAACCACTTTATAGTTGTGATAAAAGCATTGCCACACTCGATCCCATATGCAATATTGGTAATGGAATCCACGCAGCATTGCGGGAGGACATGCTATATTTTTCTCCCAGAATAGATCCCTCAAGTGGCAACATTTATAGGGAGTTTCCAATAAGATTTAAAACACTCACTTGCAATATTCATGTGGCACATCCTTTGGAGTGCATAGCCTGCTGCAGAATGGGTCATATTGGATATCATGTACTCTCAAAGGCGATCTTTACAATACTCAGTTTTTCCCCCTTGAACTTTCCTGTTGCTAGTAGTTGTGTATAGAAACACCCACTGGTAGCAGCTTGACTCTGACACTGTGTATATTTCCCCAGAGTGGTATCATCCAAACACCAACTGCAGAGCAGCAGGCAGCCAGCAAACACTCTCTTCTCCCTCAGGGGACAGTCTCACCAAGTAGTAACCCCTGCCAGGAGCAAGAAACCTGAAAGGCAACCTCATGCATTACGATTCTCATTCGAGACAGGCCGGATAGTGCCAGGGAGTTTATGCTGACAGGTGGCATTGGTTGGCAGATTATTATTTTTGTATTTTTAGGTGGGTTATTTTTAATGTTACTGTTAAAGAAGGTTATTACATCATTTTTGAATCACAATTCTTTTCACAGCTATGCTCTAGAGTTTCAGTTAATAATTCACAAGTTTGTAAACAATGCTGAAGACTCACAACTGGGTAGGGACAGGAATCAGCCCTAAGGAGATTTAAATATATCAGACTTTTTTGTTGGACTGCAGAGCAAGCACCGAAGCTGATAGAGTCTGACTGCTGAGCCATAGTGGCTGCAACTGCATTGTCTGCAAAGGGCGGTATAACTTGTGACTGCAGAAAAAGGCACTGCCTCGCCACCAGTGGCCAAGGATCACACTCTAGTATACTAAGAGCCGCTACCCGCTTCAGAATTGCCCTGGCACATGGTAGAAGTCAGGCCAGTGGGATGAAAACCAACTCTCAAAAGACAGAGAACAAAGTATTCTCTAACTCTGAGAGAAATCAGGCCAACCCCCCTTTAACTACCAAACCCACTGGCCTAGAACTCTCAAAAGAACACTTTGCAGAAAACACTTCCTTAGAGATGAATACAAGGAGAGGACTTAATGATCCCCTCCCCTCAAGAGAAAAAGCCTTCTTGGGACATGATATTGTTTGGTGTGTGAGAGAGTGACAGGGATAAAGTGAAGAATTCTTCTTAAAAGAAAGCATCTGAATGTCACTTTATTTTGACATGTGTAACTGAATGCCTAGTTATGTAAAGCACAATCCTAGGCACAAGGAAGACTGGAGAACAGTAAAGAGATACAACAAAAAACAAATAAGAAATCATTCCTTTCTTTCAATATCTCATAGTCTTGTACATGGCACTATCGATGACATCTTTTGCAAATTTCCCATTGTAAAAAAATCAGTTGGGCATTTACCTTTGAAAATACAGACCCT